TCCATCTGACACTGACCCCTTCTGTCTGCCCTCAGACATTTATTTTAATTTAATTTAATTTAAATTAAATAAAATATTAAAATGTTGCTGTTTTTTGCAGCTGCATTACGTGCAGGACAAGCTGCGTGCTGATAAAAGCCTGCACAAAGTGTTTACATTGAAATAGAAATCAAATTTTTACTGATATTTTTGTATCTGACACTGATCCCTTCTGTCTGCCCTCAGTGAAATTAAAATTAAAATATTATAATTTTTCTGTTAATTTCCAGATGCATTATGTGCAGGACAAGTTGTCTGCTGATACAGGCCTGCACAAAGTGTTTACATGGAAATAGAAATCGATTTTTTGAATTGACATTGAATTTTGAATTTACATTGAAATCTAAGTCAGTATTATGAACTGCTATTTTTGTATCTGACACTGAATCCTTCTGTCTGCCCTCAGTGAAATTAAAATAAAATATTAAAATATAAAAGCCTGCAATAGGTGTTTAATTTGAAATATAAGGCAATTTTTACATTTGAGACTGACCCCTTCTGTCTGCCCTCAGTGAAATTAAAATAAAATATAAAAGCCTGCAGCAGGTGTTTAATTTGAAATATAAGGCAATTTTTCCATCTGACACCGACCCCTTCTGTCTGCCCTCAGACATTTATTTTAATTTATTTTAATTTAAATTAAATAAAATATTAAAATGTTGCTGTTTTTTGCAGCTGCATTACGTGCAGGACAAGCTGTGTGCTGATAAAAGCCTGCAGTAGTTGTTTAATTTGAAATATAAGGCAATTTTTACATTTGACACTGACCCCTTCTGTCTGCCCTCAGTGAAATTAAAATAAAATATTAAAATGTTTTTTGCAGCTGCATTACGTGCAGGACAAGCTGTGTGCTGATAAAAGCCAGCAGAAGGTGTTTAATTTGAAATAGAAATCAATTTTTACTTCTGAACTGATATTTTGTATCTGACACTGAACCCTTCTGTCTGCCCTCAGTGAAATTAAAATAAAATATTAAAATTTTGCTGTTCATTTCCACATGCATTATGTCCAGCACAAGTTGAGTGAAATTAAAATAAAATATTAAAATATTTTTTGCAGCTGCATTACGTGCAGGACAAGCTGTGTGCTGATAAAAGCCTGCAGTAGATGTTTAATTTGAAATAGAAATCAGTTTTTACTTCTGAACTTACTTTTTGTATCTGACACTGAATCCTTCTGCTGCCCTCAGTGAAATTAGAATAAAATATTAAAATTTTGCTGTTCATTTTCAGATGCATCAGGACAAGTTGTTTGTAACTTGTAAAAGGTAAAAGCCTGCAGCAGGTGTTTAATTTGAAATATAAGGCAATTTTTCCATCTGACACCGACCCCTTCTGTCTGCCCTCAGTGAAATTAAATTAAAATATTAAAATTTTGCTGCTAATTTCCANCGTGGCTCTGGGGCCATTGCTGGGCCTGGAGCAGAGCCTGGGGCTGCCCTGACCTCTGCTCACTGGGATGGACTGGGACAGACTGGGACAGACACAGGGACAGACACTGGGACAGACACTGGGACAGACACAGGGACAGACACAGGGACAGACACAGGGACAGACACAGGGACAGACACTGGGACAGACACTGGGACAGACTGGGACAGACACTGGGACAGACACTGGGACAGACACTGGGACAGACACAGGGACAGACTGGGATAGACTGGGACAGACACAGGGACAGACAGGGACACACATGGACAGAAGGGACAGACACAGGGACTGACACAGGGACAGACTGGGACAGACACAGGGACAGACACAGGGACAGACTGGGATAGACTGGGACTGACACAGGACAGACTGGGACACCTGGGGACACTCAGAGACTCTCAGGGATGCCCAGAAACACCCAGGGACACTCAGGAACAGACTGGGACACTCAGGAACACCCAGGGACAGCCAGGGACACCTGGGGACACTCAGAGACTGCCAGGGACTGACACAGGGACACCTGGGTACAGCCAGGGACAGACAGGGTCAGACTGGGACACCCAAGGACAGACAGGGACACTCAGAGACAATCAGAGACATCCAGGGACAGACTGGGACACCCAGGAACACTCAGAGACACACTGGGACACCTGGGAACACCCAGGGACACCTGGGAACACCCAGGGACAGACTGGGAGACTCAGAAACACCCTGGGACAGATAGGGACACTCAGGGACAGACAGGGTCAGACTGGGACACCCAGGGACAGACTGGATCAGACTGGGATACTCAGGGACACCCAGGAGCTGCTCAATCAGAATGAGTTTTGTGTTCTCTGCCCCAGGAGCTGTTAACAGAATCAAAGAGATCATCACCAACAGAATGAGTTTTGTGTTTTTTCCCCCAGGAGCTGTTAACAGGATCAAAGAGATCATCACCAACGGCGTGGTGAAGGCGGCCACGGGCTCCAGCCCCACCTTCAACGGGGCCACAGTCACTGTGTATCACCAGCCAGCCCCCAT